ACGTATTTATTTTATCACCTTTTAAAATAGAGAATAATTTATTACAAATTTTGACTGGTCGATAACCAGTTTCAGATAACTATTTATGAAGTTATAAGTGTGTAAAAGTTAGAATGGGAGGGAAGTGGAATGTAGTATGTTTTTTATCTGCGCGCATTTCCCAACCGCAAATAGTTACATCAGTTCTCGATCATGAAATATTTTTGTGAGGGACTCTTTTATTACATCCAAAATATTTGTATCCGAACTAACCAGATCTGATCGCCTAACTTCAGACAGTTCCTCATCATCCATAAGCTGATATCTGACGGCATATAAAATGTTAGTTTTATCATCAGAATCTAGGTTGTTTTGGTAGTTTTTGATCCATTGACAAACCGCACGGAATATATCCACTGCGATAGTATACGATTCACCGAGTCACGATTGAGAATTAGTTGTAATGCTTCCTAAAGATAACAAATTGCTGTCATAACTAGTTATTGTACACGAGAAATACTGATTTTTTATTATGCGAATATTATTACGGGAGACAAAGAAAGAGAATCTTCAGATTGCAATAAGTCCAAAGCGTGGATGTCGATAAAATTGATTGATGCGACTTCGAGTTCTTTTAGTTGATGTTGCTGATCGTTCCTTTATTGGTACCTCCTTTTGACGGGATTCTATATGACCTACATAGAGTAAAGCGCTAAAATGTATACACAATATTAGCTTTAAAAATGCCACAACCAGTAAGATATAATATTGTGTGGGCTACAAAAAGCGAGTTTTCATTTTAAAACTTTTTACAAATTTACCCTCGTTTAGTTTGATAAGATTAGATCATAATGAACTGCTATATCATTCATACATATAGTATATCAGTATATCACTTGTTTTACAAGAATTAATTAATATTGTCATGAAAATTTATAAGTAGTAATTGTTCATATTAAAATCGATTTATATTAAGCAAGTAAACAAACAATTATATTTTTTTTTTGTATAACATTTACAAAAACATTTAGAATGGTTGATTAGAAAATTTGTGATACCGTAAAAAAATAGCAAAAAAATTCAATTAATAAATAAAAAAGTTGAACAAAGATTTTCGATGATATTGTACAACATAATGATTATTAAGGTATTATTATAAATAAGGAAATATGAATACGATTAATTATAAGATTTAAATACCTAAACTATGCACTGCGTGAGGCTAACACAACACGATTGCCGATGAAATTATATAGTTATACATTGTGTAAGTCTTAAACATAAATAGTAAATTCCTGATATTCTTTTTCCTTAAATACGTTTTTCTTAGAAATTAATTTTCTATTTATATTTTATCAATTAGTTTTTATTTCCATTTTTTTTCTTCGATTCAGTCAGTAATTCAATGTACATATGTAATCATTTTATTATAAATGTAATATTCTTCATTATATTTTTTCTCATAATGAATTTGTACATTTAACTTTTAAATGAGCAATTTTAATGACACATACTACACTATACTAAAAGACTTTCATTGTTTCATACTAAAACCTATACATAACTATTTCGCACCCCCGCTTAAAAATTAACATAACTCAAAAAATTATTATTAGTTTTCACCGATAGATGGCGCACGTCACTTATGGTATAACATTATTTTACATTATGTTGTCTTTTTTTAAATGACTTTATTAAAAAATGGCATTTTTCCAGTTATGTCACTTTTTAAGCGTAGCTGCTATGTATTAAAAAAATAACTATACTAAAAAAATGTATTACAAATTACAATACAAATTGCACACGTCTGTTTTTATTAGCTAATTAAATATATTAACCAAATTCTTCTTAAAATCAAATCAAACAAATTTATACTGAACTAAAAATTAAGGATTATTAATATACTATTATCATAAAAACAATATAAGATGTTGTTATTATTATGATAATTTTGCTATTTTTTCAAAGGAATTATAACTGGCTTGTGTCAAACATTAACTTTTATTTTTATACTTCTAGAATGAATACAGCTATGTATAGCGACATAATTTTAAATGTATTAGCCAAACTATCCTTAAAATCAAATCAATTTTATTCTGAACAAGAAGCACACAAATCTCCTGTTTCGGAACAATTATTGGATACTGACCATAGCATAAAACCATTTACAAATTTAAATATTTCTAAAGAACTTAATATTTGAGAAGCAATAGTAACTTTCTGTTATAATATTTTCTTAAAAAACGATTTTGTTTAATTTTACTCACGATACCTTATTATACTACACTTTGGTGTTTTTTAATAAATAAATATAGCTAAATTTAAAAATAACTGTTTGTTAAGTATTTTATTTTCATTAATATTTAAATATATATTATAGACACATTATTATGATTCCTATTATTTTAATAGTTTTTAAAAAATCAAGTAATTATTGACGATTCAAGTGTAATAAATAAATAGGAATCACGATAATAGTGTGTGTAATAGATATTTTTATATTTATTTAATATTCAATAGGTAACTATTATTATTATTTGATATCAACAAGCAAAGACATTTGAATAATTATTTTCTTTTCTTTGGTGTTATCTGCTGTGATTACATATTTCCTATCGTCGTTTCATTTTCTACTTTCTTGGCTACCAGGGTTGCAACTACATGAAATCGTTTGTTTTATTAAAACACATTTTTTAGGTATACCATTTTTTTGTAAATTTCCGAAAAAATTGAATTAATTTCTTGAATTACCTATTTTCAACCTGTATACATATATATACAAATTATAAATGCATATATTAATAAAAATAATAGAAAACTTTAAGTTTTAATCAAATATTTGTAATTCCATATGATATAATTATATCAATATGCATAACATAATAAAATATTACGTTTACAGCTAATTCTAATGGAATAACTTTCTTTAACTTATTGCATAAATTACTAACACACAACAATAAATTAATAGAATTACAATTTCACATTATTTAAAAAAAAATAAACATAATCGTGTATGTATTATGGTTCTTCAAATTTGAGATTATTTTACGACCATTATAGGTCGCCTTAGTCCTCTACGCCTTTACTGAATGCAATGCATTTAAGCATGTGAGGTCAACCTTGTGTATATTCCTGTTCTTTAGTTGATAGATTATCAACATAGTAGGTAAAAAAATAAAATATGTTTTCTTGGGCCATAATAGGAAGCGGTGTTAACACCGCTGCTTAACCGCCAACGAGATTCTCAAAGGTGCCACTGCTCAGAGGTTAAGTTATTTATTGTGTATTATTACGTAACGTTTTTTAGCTTGCTAAATAATTAAAAAATGTATAATTTAATTATGTAAAAATTTCCTACTAGGCAATTTTAAATAAATCATTGTCAAACACTAGTTTCCAAATTTAATTAAAACAATTGTTTCAAGTTATTAAAATTTAACGAAACATTTAAATTTAATATAATATGTTTCGTTAAATTTTGAAGTTAAAAGTAAAAATTTAATTATGTGAAAAAAAATTAATGAAAAATATTAAATTTTGTATAAAATATTTGCATTTATATTAAAAATTAATAAATTATTATATATTTTTAATTATTGTAGAATTATTATCGAAGAGAAACCGTAGGAATAAAAACTATTTGACATAATAATATGTACACTAAATTAAATTCCAAGAAAAACTTAAATAAGGAACCAGATTATCAGAAATGTACTATTTGTGTTTAAAACTTACACACTGTACAACTATATAATTTCATCGGCACCGAAAACATGGTTTTCGTATTTCAACAAGTAAGTTTTACTACCAAAAATTAAATACACTTAATGTATAGTACTTTATGTAGTTAACCGTGGAACCAAAATATCATTGAAAAGTACACACTGTATAACTATATGAATTCATCAGCAATTTAGATTGATTTGAGCCATAAAACACTGTAAGTTAAATGTTTCTAATTCATATTTTGCTTAATTTTCAGATTTATAATATGACTTATTTTCAATTTATTATACTTACTCTTGTGTTAGTTACACCGGTAGTAATTATTCTAAGGATAAAAAAAAACTAAGAAACACGATTAAATAGTAAAATAAACTAAAAAGTAAAAAATAATTTTCAATATAGAAATCAATTTATAAAAAATAAATAGTATTAATGTGAAAAAAGCGTGGGGTGCTACATATATCAGTTCTTGAAAAGCGCCCCACACTTTTTTCACAATAATACTATTTATTTTTAACACGCTTATATTAGCTTCACCTGTATGTATGTATGTATGTATGTTTGTATGTTTGTATGTAACTATATAACTATGTAACTAAAAGAGATAGGCAACCGAACGTACATGCGTGTATTCATTGTTGTTTACCTGAAGTTTTCAAGTAATAGAGACACGTATGTACTAGAATTAAATATGTACTAGAATAAAAAAACACGATTTTAAAGCACATCGAACTAAAAAGTGGAAAATAAAAATATATAGTTTAAAAAAACTAAAAAACAAGCTTAAATAGTAAAATAAACTAAAAAGTAGAAAATAATTTTCAATATAGAAATCAATTAATAACAAATAAATAGTATTATTAAGACTGAGCCAGTCTGTTGTTAGCGCTGAAGATGGCAACATCGTTGTCGTAACACGTGTACGCAAGAAGTGTACAATTTTTATGGTGTAGGGTTCAAGTAGATTTTATATCTTTACTATATATTTAACCATAAGTTTGCTTAACAGTTTTTTCTATCATATACTTAAATTCTATTGCGGTAAAAGGTAAAATTTAGCAATGTGTTCAAGCTTCTTTTTGGAGTTAAAAATATTGGTATTTCATTGATGCATTATTTATTGTTATGTTTCTGTTAATATACTTGTAAAACCTTTGAATACATCATATGTTCTTCTTATAATAACAAATAAGGAAACAACTTATCTCATTCTCTTCAAAATCAAAACCCTACACCCAAAAATAATTTTTTTACTTACAATAAGAAGCACTATTTCCAAAATTCTGTTTAAGCGGGACATGAAACAACTGCAAAAGCAAATTCATTAATTATATTTATGCTGGCTCATCATCAAGATGTTCAACAAATTGTAATTATTTCTGTAATAAGTTACAATTCCATATTTATTAAAAATTAAAATTATTTAATCATATTTGACCCTAGGTGTATCAAGAAATAAATTCAATATTTTCGGATGGTAATTTAAACAGACCGCCTACATACGAGGATTTACAAAAAATGGAATACTTAGAACGCGTTATCAAAGAAACCATGCGACTTTATCCAGCTGTTCCTCTAGTGCTCAGACAAGTAGAAAACGAAATGATGATTGGAAAATATCTAATCCCGGCGGGTAGAACCTATTAAAAATAAAAAATAAATGTTTTTAAATTACATGTCTTCACAGAACCTTATTATTAGTTCTCAAATATTATTTTGTTACAGACACAATTATTGCGATTCCCATTTATTGTTTGCATTTAAATCCACAAAGCTATAAGGATCCAGAAAAATTTAATCCTGACAACTTCTTACCAGACGTGTGTCGCAGTCGTCATCCTTATGCGTACATTTCTTTTAGTGGCGGCACAAGAAACTGTATTGGAATGAAATACGCAATGCTTCAAATGAAGACTGCGATATCTACTCTTGTAAGGTCCTACCGTTTTTCGCCATCAAAAAAATGCTTTACTCCGAAGGATCTTAAATTGTCGTGTACCATAGCACTGGAATTTATCAACGGATGTTATGTTAAAATAGAACCAAGAACGTAATAGATCATTTATAGTATTTAGATATTTTTTAATTAAGATACATATTTATTTGCTATTTTTAGTAATAATAACCATTATAATATATGAAAAGGTGTTAAATAACTTCAAAAAAATACATATTCGTCATAACTAAGGTACATAGAACCCAGTGCTTTTTTGTACTCTAAAACATTTTCCAATCCATAACATTTAATTTTTTTAATTTAAGATATTTGCGTTGACTATACATCCTAATATACAATATTGAAATCTAATAATAATACCCTGAGAAACAAAACACTTCGTAATACATGTTTTATGAATATCAAAATTTTTTGTTTCGTTGTGTATAATTAAGTAAATAACAAAAAAAAGTGTATTTAAATTTGGTTCTAAAACAGTAAACAATTTCAGTAAGTTCTACTCAATATTTTTTATTTTCATTATCAATGATGTTTCAAAAACCAATTATTATGATTTTAATTTACTATCCATATTATACGAATAAAAAAATTATACTATTTAATATTAAATCAACTAGGTATTTTTAATTCTACTTGTATTTGTTTTTTATGTATACCATTTTAAATAAAAATGTGGAAGGCATTTGAGATTTTATTTATGTTATATGATTTTTAAATGTTGCTCAATTTTTTTATGACCTCTATTCTAATATTTAACAATATGATATATAAAATAATAATAAAAACCCTTAACCATAAAAATTATAGACTCTCCGCGAATAAAGTCTGCCGTGAGCGCCGAAGATGACAACATTGTTGCCGAAATACGACGTATTCGCGGAGAGTATATAATTTTTATGGTTAAGGGTTTTTATTTTTATTTTATTATATATAACCATAAGTGCTTAAGTTTTTTCTAGAATATTTTATATGTTTCTATATAATTTTCAATGTACATACATACCAAGTATACATAGTATACTTGATTGTTTAAAAAGGGATTGGATCAAATCAATCCACAAACCTACCACCCAAAATATTTTACTTAAGTTGCATAAATGAAAAATTTTTAGACGTCAGAATTCAGTAAATCAAGTAAAGTTTTGTTGGACTGTTAAAAAAATACTTAAAATCAGTGTTGTAGAGTTTGAAAAATTTTAAATTAATTATAATTATAATTGTTTTTATTTCATTTTTTTAGTTTAATATTTAAAGAATAGCAATATTTGTAATTTTTGAATTTATTGTTAAATAATTGTTAATTTATTATTATTTTATTAGTTAAATACTTTTATCGGCAGTAAACAGGGAAGTATTGTATCTATTATAAATGTTATTCTATACTATCTATTCGTCGTTGAAACTTATCACTACAATTATTTTACTTTGTGTTATCAATATTTAAATTTTGTAAAGTACTCACAGTTTAAAGTTAAAATTTTCACTATCTTTAAATGTATGGAAATTGTCGCATACGCCTAAAATACATTTTTATATTGAATTTGTATAATTTACCTGTTTTTATCTCCATTTTTTCTTGTGTTCGGAGTAGAAGCAAATCAACCTTTAGAAAATAAGATCTGGCCTGAAGATACGAATTTTGATAGACTAGAATCTCTCAAACAACTACAAAAGATTATGTAAGAAAAACCAAAATTAATAGAAAAAGAACAAAAGATACAAAAAGAATACTACGATAGAACACACAAAACAGTTAGTTACACACCCGGTCAAAAGGTATTAGTAAAATTTGACATACAAATTCTGGGACAATCAAATAAATTAAATTATAATTATAGGGGACCTATACATCTTTAAGGCGTTTATACGTATTACATCTTCCACTTTGAGTGTCCATATATATATATATATATATATATATAAAACATTACTGAAAAGATAAGTGCCTTAAGCAGCAGATTTTTGGCTGTCTTTCAAAATTGGTATAAGCCTGTGACTGCTTCCCTCCCGAGTATAACACGGCGCCTAATTTCTCTGGATGAGGCGCCATCTGCTTGTACTATTACTATTTACTTGTACCACATTCCCAAATGATAACCCAATTTTTTTTAAAATTTGGTTGAAACTAATTGTTATCATAGGCATACTTTAACAACTACAGTTATTTTAATACTACTTCTGTATTAAATAGTTTTACCTTTATTCTAATAACTATTGAAGTTCTGTGTTCCAAACAAAAAGTTTTTTTACATTTTGTAATTATAATATTTATATTTAACCTCAATAAACATATTAATTGAGGACACTAAGAACCAAGGGGTATAAGACAATTGTTTTATAAACTGTGGTAGGCTATACACACATATGGATCAAAATTTTCAATAAAATGTTGCCTTATATTCCTTGGTTTCTAGGTGTATATACAAACTATGATGCAATTAATTTTATAATAAATATACGAATAATTTTTTAATGGTTTCAAGAACAGACCCCCAGAACGCTGATGTTGATTGGATCAAATTGTGAATCTAAACCTTTCTCGAATCAACTTAATCGCGCACACAAAATTTCATAAAAATCTGCCCAACTGTTTAGGAGGAGTTTGAATACTTCCACACGGACAGAAGAAATATACAGTGTGGCCCTCGAAGATTTGACAAATGAAATGACTTTTATTTAATTGAATATTTTTAAGATTTTTTTTTTTTAATAATTTATACTCATGTACGCTATAAGCACCACGGTTTTTATTGCACTTAGCTGTTTTACTTTTCAATATAATTTTTTTTTTTTGTTACGTTTTTGTTTTTATTTTCAAGATAGCCATTTTATTTAGGATTTTTTTTAAAAAAGATTCAGCTATACTAATTTAAAATTGATGAAAATTAAAAGTATTCTTAATATAAATTCGAGAAGGTGTTGTTAAAACCTGACGGGACACCCTGTATCGATAATAGCACACAAGCTTAGAAAAACGTGTTGTTGTACATTGGTTTCTTTGCAAAAATTGTTTAATATTATTTGAACTAATGCTGAAAAACCTTTTTTTACTGACTACAGTAAAAAATCAAAACACAAACATGGAAAAATACGTTTTTGTGCGACCATATTTTCAAACCAAATTTGACAATAAGTCATCTTTGAAAAATCATTGACTTATATCGTTTTTGAAATGACTGATTCAATTTGAAATTCAGTTCGAGGATATTATCTAATGTCATATTACAATTTTATAATGAAATAACTTAAATATTGGCTCTAATACTAAATTTGTAAACTTCAAAGACTATTATGGATTTTCAAACTTGAAATTTGACCTAGTCTTCATATTATTGTTTTTGGTGATGTTAAGTAGTTTCTTTAGTGTATAAGGCAATGTGGTATGCTGACATATAAAAAACTTTAAACAATACCTTATCGGTTGTACGAAAGAACAAATGCACAAAACCATTATTTTCATCGCTTATATCGTATCGATACAGAGTACCCCATCAGTATATTTTAATAACTATAAATCATCTTCTCATATTCAAATTATTTCGTTTCTCTTATTCGTCTTTTATGAAGCCTAGGACTTTCTGGTTTCGAACTCCTATGAAAAAATCCAAATTGGTGGCCAGTAAGTCATGAAAATAAACTCGACCATGATGTTTTTACCTTGAGGTAGGTGTCCATAATATTTTTTTGCCCTTTCTTATACATTTTAGTTTGTCGCCACTGATTCAGATTTTATGATATACCGCAAAAATAATAAAATAGATTTAACATTAAAGAATTACTTCAGGAAGTTAAACGGCAACTGGGTGTTTTATTTTATTTTTTAAAAAAAAGGGACCAAAAAAACCTTCATCTTTTACTTCGAGTAATTAGTATTTTAAGATATGGAAGACAAACAACGTGAATTCTATTTAATATAATATGTCTTGATTTAACATATTTTAACATTTTATGAACATTCAGTCATTTCTCTATAGGTTATTATATATTGTTATTAACTTTATGTGGAGAAGTTTTGACTAATCAATGTTGTAGAATTAGGTCCGTTTTGTTTTTGTGAACATTTTATACACGCGTTTTACATAGTATACAATTGTTAACTAGTGAAGTAATTTTGTTATCGAAATACATTTAAGTCTAATCTAAGTTTATTTGTTCCTAGTCTTACAATGACCATTATACATTTGCTTGATAAAATATATTTTGTGCATCATAGCCTGAAGTGTTTTCAGTCTAAATTCAAGGGGTTGTTAAAACCTGACGGGACACCCTGTATCGAAAAGAGGGACACAGCCGTAGAAAAACATGTTGTTGTACATTGGTTTCTACGCACAAATCGTAAAATATTATTTGAACTATTGCTAAATATTATTGTATACTGTAAGAAAACGCACCAAAAAAACACAAAAATATGTTTTTGTGCAACCATATTTTCGTACCTAATCCGAAAAAAATGTTTACAGGTTTTAAACTGGCAATTTTAATTTGATAAAACTTAGCCAATTTAAGGCGGATCGATTCGAACTTTTTTAAAAAAACATCGATTAGGCTTGCCTCACATGCCCTCAAACCCAAATGTCGACAACCCACTGCCCTCTGCGTTAGAACTTTATTTGTAATTACTAAAACGCATTTTTAGGGTTAAAGAGCTGAAATTTATTAATTTTTATATCTTTATTACAAAACTACAATACAAAATAAACATAATTTTAATAATTAGAAATTCAGTCCTAGGTTTTTATCTAACATATTATAATATATTATGTAAAAACAATTCTTTCTAGAAGTCTTTTTATAATAAAATAACCCTAAAGTTGCTCTAACACTAATAAATATGGATATTAAAGAAATAAAATAATACCAATAAACACAGAATTATTATTAAATTATTTCATAAACTAAAAAAAAATAAAATATTTCTGATAAATGTCACAAATCTGCAAAATGTAATGTTTACACAGAATACGTAACTACGTATATGAATATCAAATTTGACAAAAAGTCATCTTTGAAAAAACATTGACTTATGTCGTTTCTGAAATGACTGATTCAATTTGAAATTCAGTTCGAGGATATTATTTTACTTATCATATTACATTTTTATAATGAAATAACGAAAATTTGGCTTTAATA